CTGAAGTTTTTCACAAAGTCAGGCTGAATTATATTAAATACACTGTAGAAATCAAAGAACATAATTCTTACAGTGCTGTCTGTCTCTAAATGATAGTGGATTTGCTGAAGAAGGTGTATGATGGCATCTTCAACTCAGGGGGTTCAGATAGTTGCTTCTTTGCTTGCTCAGGTGAACCAACATCTCTTTGAAGTTCATGATGTGGGATGTCAGAGCAACAGGCCTTATGACTGTTGGCTGAGTCTTCTTTGGCACTGGAACAAGGCAGGAGGTCTTTCACATCACTGGAACTGTCTCCAGTGCAAGACTATGGGTGAAGAGGTGCGGTAGAATGAGCTGAGAGCTGCTCTGCACAGGCCTTCAGGACTTTAGAGCAGAAACCATCAGGACCTGGTGACTTATTACAATTTAGTCTCTCCAGTTGCCTCTTCACTTGACTACTAGAGATAGACCATACCATACCATACTAACTTTATTTATGAAGCACTTTATACACTGACATGACTAAAGTCCTGTACACAATCATAACATACAATTCAATTATATAATATTAAATATTAAATACAAAATACATGTTAATATACAGACACAATAAAACAAAGTGAAACCTCTCTGATTGTCCCAAAAGCCAAAAAAAAAAGATGGATCTTATGAAGAGACTTTAAAACAGCGAGTGAAGAGGCCTGTCTTATGCCAAACGAAGATCATTCCATAGCTTGGGAGCTGCCACAGAAAAAGCACAGTCCCCTCTGAGCCCGCACTTTGATCTGAGAGAACGGGAAGGTGTATAAGAATAAACAGCTCAGACAGATAGGGAGGGGCAAGGTCATTAACAGCCTTAAAAACAAATAAAAGGATTTTAAAATGAATCCTAAAATGCACTGGCAACCGGTGTAAGTAAGCTAAAATAGGGGAAATGTGGTAAAATGTTTGTGTACCTGTTAAAAGACGTACAGCAGCATTTTGTGCCATTGAAGCTGGGAAATATAAAAATCATTGACCCCAATATAAAGTGCATTACAGTACACCAGCCATGTGCTCACAAACGCATGGATCACTGTTTCAAAATGCTGTCTGGAAAGAATAGTTTTTACTTTGGCTAGCTACCTTAAGAGGAATGTGATCTTCAAGCTTAAGACCAGCATTCACCTTGACCCCTTAATTTGTAACAACTGGGTTACTGGGCCAAAGAGCCAAGATTGGTCAGGGAATCTAAAATGGATCTGTCAAAAACAATTACCTCGGTCTTGTCCACACGAATGCATGAAAACGCTGCAAAATGTATGCCAGGCCTGTAAGTGGCGCTGTGGTGCCAAAGCAAAAATAGG